TTTAAGTAGAAACTTTTTGAGTTTTCCTTCCCTGATAGGTTTCTGCCTTATCTGGTTCCTACTCTCGCAGGCTTTACTTTATGTATATTCCTGCAATGCTTGGTTGATTGGCTCATATGTATTAAAAAAAAAAAAGTAAAAGCTGTATATGACTTGTAAGACAACATGTAAGACAACCCGCACTGTTGCCCTCACTGAATGGCCGGTCAGTGTTGCCTTACTTGGTGGACACAGAACAATCCTAAACATTTCACTTCCCATAAAAAGGTAAGAGTTCGTCATTGGAGAAACACATGTGGCGGCTCATTGAAGAGATTTTATATTCTACTTGGAAATGGACTTGATTCTGGAATTGTAAAACTTTCTTTCCAGGTTTCATAAAGCTGCATATACGTCTTTACCCCCAGCCAGTAGTCCCCTGTTGGTGATTTTTTTTTACTGAGCTCTGGACGGATGGTGTTTTTAGTAAGAAAATTCCAGATGGCAGAGCAGCTTTATAATGCATTCACTGGTGCTTTTTATAGTGAAATTGAAACTCAGTTTGATTTGTGAAGGGGCTTTGATCATTACTCTCTCCCAGAAGAGCGTTGTTGTTGTTAAGTGCCATTAAGTCAGTTCCAACTAATAGTGACCCTGTATAGGGTTTCCAAAGGAGCTCTGGTAGCGAAGTGGTTACGAATCGGGCTGCGAATAGAAAGGTCAGCAGTTCGAAACTACCAGCTGTTCCGCGGGAGAAAGATGAGGCTTTCTGCTCCTGTAAAGATTTACAGCCTTGGAAACTCTGTGCAGGGTCGCTATGAGTCTGAACCGACTCCACAGTACATAACAACAAATAGGGTTTCTGAGGGGCTGCTGGTGGGTTTGACCCAATGACCTTGCGGTCCGCTGCTTATCCTACAGTGTCGCACCAGGATTCCTAGAAGAGAATCTTGTTGCTATTAAGTGCCATTGAGTTGGTTCTGACTCATAATAATCCTATATAGGGTTTCTGAGGAGTAGCTAGTGGGTTTGGACTGCTGACCTTGTGGTTCACAGTCCAGTGCTGAATCTTAAACAACTCACAGGGCAGCTGGTATACCTACCCCCATCACCCGAGGAATTTATTGAGCTAAGAATGCCATCTCATTTGTCTTCTATCTTCTTTCCAGCCTGAAAGAATAAACCCAGAACTCAACCAGAAGGGATACAGTGTAAAATCCGACATTTGGAGTCTGGGCATCACAATGGTAGTGTATGCTGATTTTCTCGGGTTCCGCTATTCTGAACATGCTGTGGGAAGTGGGCTGACACGGATCTAAGGCTTTAACTGCTGTTCTTGGGCATCCTATCCTGCCAAAGGTGACAGATTTTCAGTGAAAATCATTTGCAGCATGTGTAATAAAAAGACAAACCTGGGATTGGATAATCCCAGCTCTCTTTTAGTCTGCCTTTAACTTGAGTAACTGACGTAGTTACATGAGATGTCTTACTGTTCTCATTGATAAAATAAGAGGGTCTGACTTGGTTTCTTATAGTTTTAAATTCAATTATTCTAGTTTTGATTCATGCTGTAACATGGACAGACTTGAAAGATGTTGTGGTTGTTGTTAAGTTGCCATCCAGTTGGTTGCAACTCAGAGCGACTCTGAATAGGGTTTCTGAGGAGTGACTGCTGGGTTTGAACTGCTGACGGTTAACAATTCAGGGCATATCCTAAAGCGCCATCCCAGGACATTCTCAGTGAAATCAGCCTTATGTGAATGACAACTATTGTATGAGTTCACATGTATAAAATATCAAAAATAGGCAAATGTAGCAAGATAGTAAATAGATTCACAGTTACCAGGGGCTCAGAACAGGAGAGAATGGGGAGCTATTGTTTCATAGGTGCAGAGTTTCACTTTGAGGTGATAAAAACATGTTTTGGAAATAAAAAATGGTGATGGTTACACAACATGGTGAATATACGAGGGTGAGTCAAAAATTATCTGCACTCCGATTATCTGAAAACCCCTGCCCACGTCCATGGCTGATGACAACATTAAGCGTGCACGTCAAATGATTCTGCCGAATACATGAGTGACGGTGGATTATGTGGCAAACCATTTGCAAATCAGCCATGATTCTGCCTATGAGATAATTAATCCACAACAGACTTGGGTTTTGTGAAAAGTTTGTGCAATATGGGTACCCAGACAATTCACGGAAGAGCATAAACAGAAGTGTTTAGACATCTGAAAACAAAATTTCAACCGATATTCAAAGAAAAGTAAGTTGCTTTTAAAAAAATCGTGACGAGCCATGGATTCATCACTACGAGCCTGAGAAGCAATGGCAGGGTATGGATTGGAAACATCCTCAATCGCTGACCAAGAAAAAGTTAAAAAGTTAACCATCAGCTGGGAAATTGATGCTTACAGTGTTCTGGGATTCTCAAGGGCACGATGATCGTGCATAGCAGCGCAGGTCCTCACACCTCTGCCCACACTGTTGACACTCTGCAAAAATTTCATTTATTGAGGTGTTAAAGCATCCGCCCTATAGTCCTAATCTTGCATCATTGGCTTTTCACCTGTGTGGTCCCCTGAAAGCAACCCTAGAAGATGAAGATTCTCCTCTGATGAAGATGTGAAGACAACGGTGCATTTGTAGCTCACAGCTCAGTCTAAAACATTTTCTAATAAGGGAATATGAAAGCTTGTTGACAAATGGACAAAGTGTATTGAACAGGAAGGAGGAAAGCGATATGCAAAAGATTGAAACAAGACCTTCACCTCACACCTTATACAAAAACCAACTCAACATGGAATAAAGACCTAAATGTGAATCCCAGAATTATTAAGGCCCTCAATGAAAAAATAAGGGCAAATGTGAGGGCACTAATTCAGGGAATACACAGACTACAAAACATTTTGAAAACTACACAAACAAAAGTAGCCAAAATAGATGAGTGGGACATACTAAAAATTAAAAACTTAAGTGCATCAAAAGACTTCACCAGAAGAGTGAAAAGGGAACCTACAGAATGGGAAAAAATCTTTTGCAACGACACATCAGACAAGGGACTTATTTCTAAAATATATAGGAAACTACGACACCTCTACAAGAAAAAGACAAATAACCCAATTAAAAAATGGGCATAGGACATGAACAGACACTTCACCAAGGAGAAGATCCAGGCAGCCAACAAACATATGAAGAAATGTTCATGATCACTAGCCATTAGAGAGATGCAAATAAAAACAACAATGAGATATCATCTCACACCAGC